GATTTGGTGAAAAAGAGGGATCAATGGCGTTGACTGCACAGCAAGTTCAAGAAATTCTTGCTGATGACTTTCTTAATTCTAACACCCCTGAAGGTCTTTTATATCATGTATTTTTTTGAATTGCAACTAACTTTGCATGTCGTAGTGGTAAACATTATAATCTTCATGTAGATCAATTTCAATTTCTATCTAATGGTAGTTTGCTTTTTTGCCATTATCGTAGCAAAAACAATCAGCGTGAAATTGAAGGAAGAGCTACACAGAATATTCATCTTCCTCCAAATTCAGAATTAGCTAATGATATTAAAAATATTTGTCTAAACATTCTAGTGATGCTTCTAAAAATTTCTATTTACATATTAATCCACTTTGGCGTGAAACTGGTATTTGGTATAAATAAACACATTATGGAAGTAATAAAGTAGGGAATTTTATGAAAGATATTGGAAAGTCTATTAAAGTAGAACTTCCATTTGGTTTTTTAATAAACCATTCTGGTCGTAAAACTGTTGCTCAAATTCTTCAGGATGCTAATATTCCAGAAGATGCTATAATGGGAGTAACAGGTCACAAAAGTATTCAAGGTATTCGTGCATATAAAGAAGTAAATAAAAAACAACATCTTGCTGCTATGGATACTTTAATTAATGCTATAGAACCATCAAGGTCAATTCTTACTGATTCAACAAGTAAAAATGCAAATGTTGATGTTCAACCAAAAATTTCTTCTTCAATTTTTACTACAACATCGGAATTTTCTTCTGCTAATGATATTCAAAAGAAACTTCCTATTTTTAATAATTGTCATTTTAATAATGTAACTTTTAAATTGTAAAATGTATTTGTATTACAAATAATAATATACTGTATAATTAAACGTTAATGATCTGCATTAAAATAAACTTTGATATTTTCACTGGTATTAAAATATCAATATAAAAAATCACAGGCGACCATTAGTAACCATGAGATAAAATTTATTAATTAATTGATAATTTTTTTTAAGATATTTAACATTTGTTGGACTAGGTTATAAGTCCATTAATCTTAAAATTTGGAATTCAATAAGTCCAATTAGTCTAATTGTCCACTAACTGTACGTTAGACCAAAAGGATCATTTTATAACTGTTTCACCTTAAATTTTTGATTGTTATAGAGTTTTTCATGTAGAAGTCAAACATCTAAAAGGTTAAAATTTCTTATCGTTAATTGCTAAAATTATAGATCGAACTTAAATGATTTTAAAGAAAACTCGATTTGAACACGAAGTTAAAAAAAGAAAATTCTAATAAAAAAAAATTATCAAAAAATCAATTTTTTATACGGATATTTTTTTACATATAAACTAAAACTGCTAAAAAGCTTTTTGCAAAGGAAAATTTGGACTTTATATAGTTCCTGAAAATTAACCAATATCATTTTTATCTGTCAACTATCTCCGCGAACATTGTAGTCTTTCGCTTGGGAAATTAAGATTACTGAATTCTTTATGAAACGTTTATAAATCCTCTTCTGTCTTTGTAAATACAAGGAATTTACATAGTTCCGGCTGTCCATTCAACGTGACCCGTTTTCGACTTTTTCGAAAAAAGAACTTTTATATCAATGATTAACGAATTCAAACGGACTCTTATCGAAGTTGGTATATTATTTAATCGATAATTGTTGAATAATTATTATAATATATCTAATATATTTTATAAACTGTACATATAAGAAGATAGTGTTTTAACATCGCAACCAACCCAACCCAATAATTAATTTGGTCTAAAAGAATGTAACTTTAATATTTAATATTAATTTTCTTTTTTTTATTATAAAGAATTTTTTAAACCCAATTTCCTTCCCTACTTCCATCAATATTGAGCGGAAGATTGTAGGACCTTTTAATGCTAATCGAATTAGTTGATCTTATAGACCTTTTACTATTCCTATGACCAGAATTAGATCCTTCTGTATTTGCAATATTATTAAATCCTCCCCAGTCTTTATCACTCTTTGTAAGTTTCTTTTTCCATTTATTATAATCATCAGAAGATATGGACATAGTTTTTTGATGCCTTTCGGCGGCCCTTTGATTTAATGGGTTCTCAATTTCATGAGGTCTCAATGCAGGTCTCGGGTCATGAGACATTTCCGGTTGAGAGGGCTCACGTGCATTACGCAACATCGTCTTCAAATTATCATTCACAACATTATCATCAATTTGTTCACCAAATTCCTTGGTTTTTTTCTTTCTTCTTCTTACAGCACAACATCTCATTATCATAACACTTATTATCAAGAATAAAATTGATCCGAGAGCAATTAAAAGAACCATCCACCATTCAAGTCCTTTAGATGTATTAAAGTAATTATCTTGTTTTTGATCTTCCTTCGTTTTTTCGGGCGGAAGTATGTCTTCAGTGACCAAATTTTGACAGAGTCTTTCACTCTTAATTAATTCACTTCCAGCTGGACATGATCCACTACATGAACCTCCAAGTAAAATTTTAGATTGGTCACTACATCCAAGACATTGATCAGGTCTTGATCCAACGCATGAAGAACAATCCGCATTACATTTTTGACATCCAGTCTCATCAGCGTAAGTTCCCATCGGACAAACTTCTACACATTGTCCATCTTTTATAATCGGACGATTAGGTGGACATTTGGTGCATTGATTGATCTCTGGACCCGTGCATTCTGTACAATCTGAATGACACTTTGTACAGGTTGTGTTAAGTGCTATAAATCCAGAGGGACATTGGGTGGATGAGCAGACTCCATCTAAAGCGAAGAAATTTTCGTTCGAACATGTAATACATTCATTTCCTTTCGGACCCTTACAACTAGCACAACTGGTGTCACAGTCTAATAAAGAAATAAAATTTTCATTAATGAATCATTCTTATTTAGGAAGCGCATATTTCATAATTTTTTTTTTTTTTTTTTAAATTCTCACCTTTACAAACGAAATCGGTATTGTCAGCATATTTATTTTCAGGACAATTTTTTACACATGTACCATTATTAAGAAAAAAACCCGGCATGCATTTGGTGCATTGTACTTCTTCAATAAGACTAACCTCACTGAAGTTTGGAATTGAACAATCAAGGCACGAACTTGGACAAGTTTCACAGGTTCGTTTTGAATTATCTATAACAAATGCCTGATTTACTGCAGAAGGTGAACATTTACTTTCGGTAGTTTGTGTTAATAAAATACAGGAACCTTCCAAATAAACCCTTGATGGTTGGCACTTTAGGCATCCTCCAACTCCAGGTCCAAAACATGTCTCGCAGGTAGGATCACAATTAGTACACGTCTGAAGATCTGTATCAAAATATTGATCTATTGAACAATTCAAATTTGGATTTGGTTCGCATAGTCCATCATCAGAAGACTTAAGATTCGGTAAACATTGACACTTTCCGGTCTCCGGTTCGCATGATTCACAACCCGGAGCACATAGCTTGCACTCTTTTCCGGATTTATAAAATCCTTCTTTACAATCCATGCATCGATTATTTTTAGGGTCCAACAAGAAGCCAGCATTACAAGAACAACTGCCTTGTTCATCGCAAGTGCCATTACCACATTGACATTCTATTAATAATAATTGGTAAATACGAATTGAATTGTTATCATAAATATAAAGAAAAAAAAATATGTACCTTCACACTTGTTACCAAAGAAACCGGGAGCACATTGATTGCAAGTTTCACCGGTAAATCCTGGATTGCATTTGCATTCTCCGGTTCCTGCCAATCCATCATCACAAATTTTATTACATTTTGCGTTGCATTCTTGACAAGTAGGTCCAAAGAACCCGGGTAAACATCGTTCGCATCTGTCACCAGTGAAACCAGGCTTGCAAGTACAAGTACCATCAGATGAACAGGTACCACTAGAACCACACTCATTTTGGCATGCGGCTGATAAAATGAGAAAAGGTTTTGTGAATCATATGACTTTCACGTGATTTTCTTAGATGAGGAAAATACTTACTGGCTGAGATGTCTAAACTGGCAACTGAGAGTTGCTTAGCGTCTACTGGAGCTCCGGTAAAGTTAGCTATGGACTCAAATAAACCAATGTTATTCCCAGTAAAATTTGAATTTGACCAAAAAACGCCACGAAAACCTTCAGAAACCAAAGCGGAACCAAGGTTCATAGTTGGGAGTAATTCTGAAGGTCCGACTTTCATAAATTTACTTGCACCAAAATACGCGGGTTCTTCATAGATTATCATTCCAGGTTTTAATCTGATAATGATAGAATCGAGAGAATCGATGGGTGACATCTGCGCAATGTCAGATTCAAAAATTTCGACTTTATTATTACTTTTATTAACAATAAATTCGAATCCCGGTGGAATCTCGAGAGAGAATGCTGATGAAAATATTTCGGCAGGTAATGATTTTGAAGTGTAGGTATTGACCAAAAGTATTTCTTTTTTTCCGGTAAATTCTTTGCTTGTGTACAAGTTTACCGCATCTATTAAAAAACAGATGTAATGTTAAGTCACGTGACTTCAACTCGTTAAAAACGAGACCAATTTAAAAAAACTTACGAGGTGCAACGTGATAAAACTTCCAAGCTTGACAAGTTCCCAAGGCAACTTTGTCACCTACTAAACCTAAACATTTTCCGGAATCAACGTTATTTAAAACCCCATCATTATTCAAAATCCATTGTTGGTTTGTGGCGGCACTATCACAAGAGCAAGCATTTATATTATTACTATTTGGCAAAGCACTCAAACAAAATTTATCGGATTTTATTATTATCGGAGAATTTTTTAACGAGGAATTGACAGGAATGATATTCCATTCGAAAGATTCTGTAAAACTTTGAAACCTATCGGTTGGGCATGGAGTTAATATTATGGTTGAACATTTATCGGAGAAAGGAATGGAGGAACGGTCAAGACATGATAATGTCTGTTCGTTTCGAATAAACTTTGCTATAAAAAATTTTAGGTGGAATTTCAATTAAATCAAGATTTAGTTATCAAAATCATTTATTAATTAATCATAAATCAACTTACCAGCCTGTACATTAGACGTTAATTCGATTGTCAAAATCAAGAAAGATAGAAAGAAATTTTTAATATGCATTTTTTTTTTTTTTTTTATGATAAAGTTTAAATCTTTTTTTTTAAATGAAGTTCTATAAGAGGAATTAGGGAAGATTATATTAAAGAAACGAAGAGAAAACCAGTTCTCTCGTTCTTTTGAAAAAAAAAAAAAGTAAATTTGGGTTGGTTTTTTTTTTTTTTTTTTGAAAATACATAAGTTACAGACTGAATTTATATAAATTTTCATTTAATGTAATTTAACCATTTAACCGTATGTGGAAGATAATATAATATCTAAATATGTTCTATAAGAATTTTGGAATAAGGCGGTGACATTTAACATGCAACTGCAGAAATAATAATAATATATTAATTATTATATTATTTATTCATTTACTTTTTTGTTTAACTTATGTGCTGATTTAATTTGTTCTACACAATTATAAAAATTTCCTTGTTTGTATTGTACACGTTTCAGTTATTTGTAAGGCTTTGATTTATGATTCAAAACGATTACTCCGTTTTTGTCACCACGCATGCCACGCATCCTTTTTCTTCAATAATAAAGAAGCATTCGATTACAAAGAGATCAAATGTTGATACCCAAAAGGAATGTTTGGAAATATCGTCAAATGTTGCATTTTCGTGTGGCACAGCAAATACAATTATTAAAAAAAAAAAATTACGATTGTTTTCGAGTAATATTAATAGATTCATTTCTTAGATATTCAGTATTATTAATAACTCTATATTTATATAATGTTTCAATGATTCACGCCTATTTAATATTTTTCCTTTCTTCATATGTCCTTCACTTTCAAAGCAAAGTTTTTTTTTCCTTTTATTTTTTTTGTAATTCATAATTCGTAACACAGAAAAAATAAGATCGTTCGGATCTTTATGAAAAAAAATTTTTTTTTTTTTTTTTTTTTTACATATGAAACAAATAACGATAGGTTAATCTATTCAGTGTTGGCACATGACCTTGTCATTTAGCTTAAAATATGACCTTTTGTCATTTGGTCATATGACCGATGGTCATTTTGTCATTTGTCATAAAATTACGTCACATGTCATATGATTTACATGACCGTTAATCATATGACAAGACCTTTAATCATATGACAAGACCTTAAGTTTTATTGCAAAAATTGCAATATTACTTTACTAAAAATTAGTGATAGTTTAATTTTAACCTAAACACTTGATAATTAAGAGGTTGAGAATTTAAATTATTATAAAAAACTCTAATACTTTAGTAAATTTAACGTTTTTAACGTCAGAGATGTTAAATTTATTACAATTTTGCAATATTTGACACCTCCGACTTCAGGACTGTCAAAATATTGCAAAATTCGACGTTCTGGACATCAAAGGCGTTAAAATATTGCAATCTTGCAATAAATTCAACATTCTGGATGTCAGAGATATCAAAATATTGCAATTTTGACGTTTCTGACATCCAGAACATTAAAACTATCAATAAATTTAACGTTTCAAAGTCAGAGGCGGCAATTTTGTAATAAATTGAATATTCCGTACGTCAGAGGCGTTAATTTTTGCATTTTTGCAAAGATGTGTGACTGGCAAATAGTTTAGAACCACCTACATATATTGAAACTTTTTTCGAAAATGAATAAATATGAATAAAGTCTATTTTTACAGTAATAAAATTTAAACTTAATAATTAATATATAAAAAATTTTTCCTGGGGGGTACCGAGTACCCCCCAGACCCCCTTCTTGGGGTATTTTTTTTTTTTTATCATTTTTTTTAATTTATTTATTTATTTAATTTATTTTATTTTTTATTTTTATTTATTATTTTATTATTATTTATTATTATTTCTATTTAAAAAACAAATAAAATCGAAATTATATATACTCTTTTTTGATTGGTTAAAATTATATGACAATATCATAAGGTCATAAATATTTATAAATGACAAATGACAAATCATGTAAGTCATATAGGTCATATGATGTCATGTACCAACACTGAATCTATTAGAGGAGTAAATGTACTCTTCTTACGGAAGATTAGATCAAAAACATTTATTTTTAAGTTGATAATTCAATTAGAACGAACGTAATTTGCTCTTTTCATATAGCGTTAAATGATTTTCTTTAATGGAAATATCCACCGCCCATTGAAACTTTTTTGTTAAACCTCCTTGTTAAACGTTGCCAAAAGTCGTTTTGTCTACGGCTTCAAAAGATGCCAATGATCTTTACCTTGCTTGTATCAATATCAATGATCCTTCTGTGTATACTTCATCTTTATTTAATTGGTAGTTTCGTAGTTTCGGAACTGCGTCTTAAAAATTAATCACGTCATCCATTTGTCTAAAAATAGATTATCGATAAAAAAAAATTTTTTTGTTTTTCACCTTATCATTCATTAAGAGCGCGAAATCAAAAATGTAAAAATTTATTAGTACCTGAAGATACCGTGCGCGGTTGAAAGCTTGTATTTGCATGTTATTATTGGTTATACTACACTAATAATGAATAATTTGCATTCGACAGGTCTCGTTTAATAATAAAAAATTTACCAAAAAACTTAACTGATCACAAGTTTCGTGAGCACTTCTCTTCGAAAGGTCAAGTAACTGATGCAAAAATAATGAAAACAAGGTTACTAAATCTGATTCAATAATTGATTAACTCGATTAATTTCTTAATCTTTATACCTTAAATTTTTTCAATTGTAGTGATGGTAAATCTCGTTATTTTGGTTTTATTGGTTATCGCACAGAACAAGAAGCAAATGAGGCATTAAAGTATTTTAATAATACTTATATACATACTTCAAGGATCGCAGTTGAGATTGCTAAACCTGTGAGTGAGTCATCTCGGTAATCGAAATGAGAATATTCAATACTAATTTAACCTACTCGTGATATAGGTAAACGATTCATCACTTTCTAGACCTTGGAGTGCGCACAGTGTTGGTTCTTCAAGATATGAGATGAAACATCAACAATTCCGTCAACAAAATCCTAATAATAAATCATTAGATGACACTTCCAAAGTAACTAGAGATCAAAATCAAAAGGATTTAAAGTCAAAAATTAAAGATAAAAATAAAAATAATGAAAAATTGCAAGAATTTTTGGAAGTAATGCAACCAAGATCAAAATCTAAAACTTGGGCAAATGATGATTTGACAATTTTAGATTCACATTTGAAAAATTCTAAAGTAATAAACGAAAGCAATCCTATTAAAAAGAATGCAAAAATTGAAAAATCAGATGATGATGAACTTTATCAAGATTTACCAAAGCAAGGCAAGAAAAATGTGACTAAATCTGCAAATAATAAAAATAATATGTCAAGTAGCGAGAGCGAAGATGAAGAAATGCAGGATGTTGATACGACTATAGACTCGATATCAGATACAGATTGGCTCAAGTCAAGAATGAGAGGAAAACTTGATTTAGAAGATGAAGGAGAGGTTATTGATCATTTAATTGAGGAATAAATTAACATGTTACATTGTATTATATAATTATTAATTTAATTTAATTAATTTAGAACAAAGTTGACTCTTCATCTGATCCTGATAATGAAAGTAGTCAAGATGATGAGGAAAAGGATGATATTGACGTACAGTCTTATGATACGAATAATGATGATATACAAACACCCAACAAAGAGGCAAATAATAATAATCATTCCACCGAAGTTCCAGCAGAAGAATCTATAGGTGAAACTGGTCGTTTATTCGTTAGAAATCTTCCATACATCTGTACGGAAGAAGATTTACGGAGAGAGTTTATCAAATTTGGACCACTTGCCGAAGTATGTGTTCATACTTGAATCAAATTTTTTTTAATTAAAATCAACCTTTCTGACTGGTTGAATTACTTCTAGGTTCACATGCCGCTTGATAAAGAAACTAAGAAACAAAAAGGCTTTGCTTATATTCTTTATCATATTCCCGAGCATGCTGTCATGGCTTATATAGAACTTGATAACAAATTTTTTATGGGTAGATTATTGCATATTTTGCCTTCTAGGGAAAGACCTACATCACGCGACGTTGATCAAAGTAAATGGAGTTTGAAAAAACAAAAAGAGATGAAACTGAAAGCACAAGCAACAAACGACTTTAACTGGAGTACTTTATATATGAATGTGTGTATCATTTTTTTACTTAATATTTTCTTGATATTTTTAATAAATATAATAATCTCTTTTATATTTTCATTTTAGAGCAATTCAATTGCCGAATCCATTGCAAATAGATTTAAAATTAAAAAATCGGACATATTAGATCCCGAGAGTGACAATATGTCCGCTCGTCTTGCTCTTGCAGAAACACATATTATACAAGAAACGAAAGCCTTTCTTTCCGAGGTAAACTTAATCTTTTGATTACATCAGTCTTCTATATAAATACTACAATACTTTGTTACTCTTACTTAGAATGGAATGTGCTTAGATTCCTTTGGAAAAAAGGAGAAAAGTGATACTGTTATCCTGGTAAAAAATATTACGTTCAGTACCACTAAAGAAGACTTGCAACAATTATTTGGATGGTACGGAGAAATTGGTCGCGTAAGTTTTTTTTTAAAAAATATAAAATAAGAGATTCATTATACTTATGGATAACATGTTCTTCTTAATTAGATACTAATACCACCGGCCCAAACTCTTGCTGTAATAGAATTCTTACATCCAACGGAAGCTAGGAACGCATTCACAAACCTTGCTTATAAAATGTTTAAGGGAGTTCCACTTTATCTAGAAAAAGCGCCAAGTGGTGTCTTTAAAAATGATGAATCATCTGAACAAGAAGGAAAGAAAGTAGTATCTTCTGCTGACCTTGTTGAACCTACACCTGATATAGATGATGATAACGTCGATGTTGATTCTGAAGTGACTGCTACTCTATTTGTGAAAAATATAAGTTTTGAAACTACAGAAGAAGGGCTAAAAAATTTATTCAAAAGTACTCCTGGTATGAAATCTGCAAAAATAAGAATGAAGAATGATCAAAAAAATCCCGGTAAGAAGTTAAGTATGGGATTTGGTTTCATTGAATATGATAGTATAAAAAATGCAAAGAATGCCTTAAAAGCTATGCAGGTATGTTTAATTATAAATATTTTCTTAAGGGTGGCTTTTTTAAGATATTTATTTAACAATTATTTATTGGTAGAATTATTTACTTGATGGTCATGCGTTACAACTGAAATTTTCAAATCGTGGAGATGTTATACAAAGAAAGAAAAAAGACGAAATCATTAAAAAGAAACAAGAGTCGACCAAAGTTATAGTTAAAAATGTAGCCTTTGAAACAACAATAAAAGAATTAAGGGAATTATTTGGTGCTTATGGACAAATTAAATCACTTAGAATACCAAAAAAATTTGATCGTACATCACGTGGTTTTGCCTTTATAGAGTTTTTAACGAAACGAGATGCAAGAAATGTTATGGAAAATTTACGAGATACTCATTTATTGGGTAGACATTTAATATTGGAATATGCTGAAACTGAAAAAAATGTTGAAGAATTAAGAGAGAAGGCTGGTAGAGAATATATTGCCGACATTGAAGGCGGAGACGGTAGAATGAGAAAAAGGAAAAAGGTTGATATGGAAGATTGGAAAGAAAGTCAACATGATGATGAAATGGAAGAATAAATTATATTAAAATTAATATTTGTTTACGCAATTTTGATTGGTTGAAAACTAGGCAGCTTTATTATCGTAAAAAATGAAAAAAAAAAAAAAAAAGACTATACAAAAAGTTCTGCCGTTCGATCTACTGAACGATAGAAAAAAGGAGTAAACTCTTGGAACAAATTCTCAAATATGCCAATTGTACGCTCGAATTTTCTTTTACTAAATTAAATGAGCGACGAATTATTTAATATGCATCACCAAACTTGAAAACGACCTCATTAAATATTTAAATTTAATGAAATGATATTCAATGCGTTAAAACTAATGTTATTTTAAGTATTCTTTTGTTCATTATTGCCTTTTAACTCTTCTTCTGTTGGCATATAAGCTCCAGCTGCAAGACATAAATTTTTTCTGGTAAATTGAATTTTGTAAATCGGTGTTTGCTTTGTCGGTAATGTCTTTATAAGATCCCTAAAACATGTAGAGATAGATATATTATTGATTTTTGTATATTAAAAATTTGAAATACTAATATAATTAAAAGAATCCTTATACTAACTTAGTTTCAGTTATAGATTTATGCTTCGTAACCGGTGAACGATTTTCATCTATATCCATTCTAGCTTTGCTCGAATAATGTTCATCTTCATTCAAATTATCCGACATGCTTTTTTTCACATCCCATATGCGAACGGTACCATCCGCACTGCCTGATACCAGAATACTGCTTTCTTTGCTAAAATCTAATGAATATACAGTAGATTTATGACCCACCATTTTTTTGAGAAGTTTTCCAGTTCCAAGATCCCACAACATTATAGACTTATCCTCGCCTAAAGGAAAATAAAGAAGAAAAGGATAAATGTGTCAAGATCATACATAATATTTGTATTTTAAAAAGTTACCTGCTGATGCCATTAGGCGTCCATCATCAGATATACTTAAGCATGAAATTCCTCCAGTATGACCAGAGAATAATCGAACGCAACCACCTCCCTGAATATCCCACATACGAGCTGATTTATCACTAGATCCAGTGATGACGTATTTAGAGTTTGGATGAAATTTGACGGTCTTGTGGAATAAATGAAATTCAACATTATAGATTTTATCCTTAAAAAAAAAAAACCAAAAAAAAACAAACAATACATTATTGATTGGTAAATTTACATACATCAACATCTGATATATGTCCCGCAAAGATCCTTAAAGGATAAATATGATCGCAACTCCAAAGCCTAGCAGTTCTATCATGTGAGGCTGTTACAAAATATAATCCCAAGGGACTAAAATCAACATCCCATACTGGGGAATTGTGACCTCTATAACATACAAGATTAGTATATGAGTCTATACTCCAAAGTCGCGCTTGAAATTAAATAAATAAAGAACCGATATAAAATTGGTTAATTACATATTATGCATGTAATAGAAATAAAATAAATAGAAATATAATTTTTTTTTTTTACCAGTCCTGTCTTCCGAACATGAAATAATATATTTATTATCAGGACTGAAACTTAATCCAAATACAGGCCCGGAATGTCCTAAAAGTTTTTTACAATCACTACCAACTCGTTCTTTTGCATTTTCAAGGTCGCTGACTTAATAAATACATAAGATAAAAAACCAATTCGAGTTCCATATTTAATCAATATGTATTCGGTCTAAAATATGTATGTTACCGGTTTTCATTTCAGCTGGGTTTATAAGTCCTCGTAATCCTCTTAGCTTTTCGCGTTTCAAACTATAGATTTTAACGTATGAATCCGAAAAACCCCCAGCGATAAGAGTTGTGTCTTCGGATATGGATAAGCAATTCAAGCTATTAAAGTAATAGTGAAATGAAAGATAAGCTTTTTTATCGTGCGAAATTGTCGAACTTCAAAATTTAATCTGTACCTATCGTAAGTATTAAAAAATGTATAAAAACAAATTGATGGGAGAGTGGAAGATGGATCCAATTCTGCTCGTAGTGTCAAGTCTTTAACCATTTCGACGTGTGATAATACGTCAGCTCCCTTGCTGAACGTCTCGCAAGTCAGATAAATAAATTCATTACCGTGTATAATAGGTTTCATTGTAATAAATTTTGAACAAAACATACTATGATGGAAGCGGGATAGACATCCTGTCGGGTGCATCAGAACTTTGTTCCCTTTTTAATTTATTCAAAAATTCTTGTTGCAACGATGGAATTGGCTCCATTTCATTCATCTATGTCAAAATATTTTATAAGATTAAAGTTATAAAAAAAAAATAATTAATTTTTTTTTCTTCTTTTTTTTTT